GGGAGGAGACGAGCCAGTCAGGGTGCAGTGTAGCAATGATGAAACATACAACTTTCTGCTAGTTCTTAAATGCTCCCCCACCACCACCACCCCGCCCCACTATCATGATCCCAATTTTACCTTACAAATCGGGTTAGGCCAGAGGATGTACATTGATACAGATAGGAACTGGAAACACAGGGACTCCAAGACAGATGAACCCCTGGTGATAACAGAAGGGTGGAGGGAAGGTGGGGTAGAAAGGGTGAACCAATTACAAGGATCTACATATAACTCCCTCCCTGGGAAATGGACAACAAAAAAGTGGGTGAAGGGAGATGTCGGACAGTGTAAGATATGACAAAATAATAATTTATAAATTATCAAGGGTTTGTGAGGGAGGTGGGGTACGGGAGAAAGGGGACAAAATAAGTAGCTGACACCAAGGGCTCAAGTAGAAAGAAAATGTTTTGAGAATGATGGTGGCAACGAGTGTACAAATATGCTTGACACAATGGATGGACGTATGGATTGTGATACGAGTTGCACGAGCCCTCAATAAAATGATTAAAAACAAACAAACAAAAACTCCCATCATCAAATAGTCTGGGAACCAGATGGTTTTACTGGGAAATTCTTCCAACAATTTAGAGGCGAGTTAACACCAATCTCACCAAACTACTCCAGATTATAGAAAAGGATAAAATACTACCACACTCATTTTTGAAGCAAGTATACTCTTGCTACCTAAACCAAGCAAAAACATCAGAACAGGAAACTATAGACCCATATCCCTTCTGAACAAAGATGCCAACATTTTCAACAAAAATTCTAGGTAATTTTAATGAAACATTAAAAATATACATGATTAAGTGAGATTCATAAAAGATATGCAAGGATGGTTCAATATTAGAACTCAATCAATGTAACCCACCATAAAAATAAAGCGAAAGAAAAGAACCAAATAATTATATCAATCGATGCAGAAAACCATTCAATAAAATTCAGCATACATTCTTGATAAAAATACTCAATAAAATAGGAGTAAAAATTCCTCGATATAATAAAGGCCATATATGTAAAACCAATGACTTTCATTTAATTTCACTCAATGGAGAGAAATGGAAAGTATTCTCCTCCAAACAGGAACTAGGGAAGGTTTCCCTTTATCACCTTCTCATTTAATATTGTCCCAAGAGTCTTGGCCAGAGCTATACAACATTAAAAAAAAAATCTTAAGATATTAAAGGCATCCAAATTGGAACAAAAAAGAAGTAAGACTCTATTTGGAGATGACAAGATCTTATATATAGATAACTCCACAAAGATTTAATTTTTTAAAATGCTGCAACTAATAAAAAATTTGGCAACATAACAGGCTATAAGATAAATATAAAAAACCCAAGTGGATTCTTGTATATTAAGATGGCTCTGAAAAGGAAATTAAAAGAATAATAACATTTACAATAACCCAAAAGATAAAATATTTAGGAGTATTTTATATTTAGGAATATAAGACAGTGTAAGGCATGACAAGATAATAATAATTTATAAATTATCAAGGGCTCATGAGGGAGTGGGGAGCAGGGGGGGAGGGGGGGAAATGAGGAGCTGATACCAAGGGCTCAAGTAGAAAGCAAATGTTTTGTGAATGATGATGGCAACAAATGTACAAATGTGCTTGAAACAATGCATGTATGCATGGATTGTGATAAGAGTTGTATGAGCCCCAAATAAAATGATTTTTTTTTAAAGAAAGAAAGAAAAGTAGCCTGGAAGGGGCACATTTTTGCACACCAAACATCTGTTTCCTCTTCCATACACTCTATCATTGGGTGATTGAAAAAATACATGGGAAAAAATGAAGAGAAAAAAGAATATAAAATATTCCTAAATTTTAGAGAAACAAAAGACTTATACAAATAAAACTATAAAACTTATGCACCAAATGGGACTTGCATAAATAGAAGGATGTTCCATGTTCATGAATAAAGCCAAGCAAAACTCACTGCCATTCAGTCATTTCTGCCTCATAAGACAGGGTGGAATTGCCAGTGTGGGTTTCTAAGACTGTGACTGTTTAAGGGAATGGGAAGCCCTGTCTTGCTGCTGAGGTGTGGCTGGTACTTTCAACCTACTGATCTTGTAGCTAGCAGCCCAGCATGTAACCACTACACCACCAAGGCTCCTTAGGCCCATGGACAGGAAGACTTTAACATCGTGAAAATGTCAATATCACAGAAAACACTACAAATTCAATGCAATTTCTATTCGAACCTCAGCACAATTATTCAATGAAACAGAAAAACAAATCACTCTCTTCACATGGAAAGAAACCCCGAATAGAAAATAAAGCACTATTAAAAAACAAACAAACAAAAAACAAAGTAGGAAACCTTGGTCTCCAATTTTAAAATCTATTATGCAGCCAAATTGGCAAAGAAGAACTCTTACTTGGGGATGTCATATCTTACGACTCTATATAGAAACCCCCAAAGAGTCAGTACAGCAGCTTTGTATTGGTACAACGGTAGATATGTAAATCAATGGGTTAGAATAGTTGAACCCAGAAATACAAGCAAGCGCCTACAGACACCTGATATTTTGGTAAAGGGCAGAAATACATTAAATAATGAAGAGATAGTCTCTTCAATAAATTGGTCTCTACTTGCAAAGAATGAAACCGGGCCCATATCTCACACAGTGCACAGAATGAACTCAAAGTGGATTAAACACCTACAATACAACCCTAGAACCATAACAATCGTAAGTAAAAAACTTGAGACAAACTTCAAGGTCCTTACTGTTATCTTTGTTGTAAGGTGCCGTCCCGTCGGATGAGATGCCGTACAGTAGCTAAAGGAAAGGAAAGAAATTATGACGTAGAAGGGCCTACCCCGAGATCTCAAAGGTCAGCGTGGGAAAGCAAAGTAAGGCATTGCAGTGGACCGTGCAAAGACCTGGATGGAGAAGGTCAAAAGGAAGAACACGCTCGGCATGTCTCAAGCTGAAAGAATTCAATTATCAGTTGCTCCGCGGATGAAAGATGAGGCTAACTACTTCTGTAAAGATGTAAAATGCTTCAGAAACCCTATGTGTCTGCACCTGCTGCATGACAGTGATTTCGGGTTTTGTGTTTTGGTCTCATTTAGAACACAATTTCCTGAGTTCTGATATGTTGGAATCATCTGAAGGCCTGCCCCATACAGCCGGGCAGGCCCCCGCCATTAGTTGGGTTCAGATTGCTAGTTATTTTTGTGGAAATGTGAATGACTAGGAGCACTCGGCTCAGCACTGCTCCCCTCTCCTTTCGCAGTCCAAGCACAGCTGGAGAACATAATTTGGGGGCTATTCAAGATGTTGGAAGTCCCGGGCGGGTGGCGATGGCGTCTTTCTCGCAGTTCCGCCGTTGAGCATCCTCCCTCTCCAGGTAAAATCCCTGAGGTCATCGGATGCTACTGCAACCTACAGAGTCTAGGCTGCTGGAAGCTGAAGCCCCGAGCAGGCCCCCTTGGTTAATAATGACCCAGACATACGTCCTGCCCTGAGCCGACATCGCAGACTGCTGGGCAGAGCGGCCGGGCACAGGACCTCGGGGAGGATCCACGGACCGGTCTCTCCTACTCCGCTCGCTCCGACTGAGCGTCCCCACGTTGCGCGAAAGGACGTGGGCCAAGCCCCGCCTCCCACAGAGCCTCACAGAGCCCAGCCCCGCCTCCCGCAGAGCCTCACAGAGCCCCGCCCCGCCCCGGCCCCGCCCCGCGCGGGCACTGTTCGCACTCCCGGTGCTGATCCACGCCGAGGCGGCCGCGTTGCCACCTGCGCGCCTCAGGAACAGGCGGCGAAGCGCCTGGGCGCTGGGAAAGGACCTGGAGCCGCGATGCCATCCGTGGCTGTGATTCCCGCCGGCGCCCGCGCCCCCATCGCCAAGGACCAGCAGCCGGGCCCCCACGGCGCCGC